CAGAATTCCCCAGCTAGCATGGCTGGCTGGGGAATTCTGGGAGTTGAAGTCCACACATCTTCAAGCTGCCAAGGTTGAGGAGCACTGGTACTATACATTAAGGGTGACCTACTTGGAAAGTATGGATAATATTTCTATGTGACAACTTTCTGCATTTTAAGTACAGTATCTTGTTTTATATAAATACCCACAATGTGCCATTAGGTGGTGCTATAATACCATTTTGCTACACAGTCATTGCACAGGTAATGTTTCCTTAAGTTCAAGATAACACTGGAAAACTGCAATATTGTGTGAGTAAATGCATCTTAAGTGGACTGATATGACACCGCATGCATCCAGAAGACTGTTTTTTACACACACACACACACACATTCTTCTGACTCCCAACACCATGTACACTCTCCCTTTACTTCATTTAGTAAAAGGGCATAAAAACAGGTTTGTGGAGAACAAATCCTATTTGAATCATATTTTCCTAAAAGTGCTAGTTCCCATCTGAGTAATGGACTTGCGGCCTTTTCTATGTTTAACAAGTACGTCTAACTCTTTCCAATGATATGAGTAAAAGAAAAGATACTGTATTAAATGTGCTTAGACAAAATAAAAAGGAAACAAGTACATTCACAGATTTCTTGTAGTATTTACTTGAAAGCACATAAGGCCCAACAAAAGATAGTGAACCATTGTTATCCACCATACACTCTTTTCAGTTATATTCAACTTATGTAACTTTGGTTTCCTGACCATGTATTTTGTAAGCTTTAAACTTTCATATAATTGGCATTGTGTGCACTTGGCATTGCAGATATTGACAAAACAGGAAAGAGCACAGTGGTTCAAACTTAAGTGGCATTAGCAACTTCAAGTGACTTGGTTAATTAATAAACAAAAATAACTTTAAGAACCATCCTTATCACTGGGTTTAAAGTATGTTTTAAACAGTCTAATATCCCTTTAGTTTATGGATAGCAAATAATTGTACATAATCCTGTAAGCATTTCATCACACCATGAGTTACTGTATAACTTTTCAATCAGAAACCTTTAAACCTTAAACAACAGCTGTAAAAGAACAAAAGTCTATTATTGAGTGGTTCTCTGTGTAAAGTATTTAATCAGAGCATGTTATCTCAAATATTGGTTGCTCAAGTGTTGATTATAGGTCTGTTCACTGCAACTCTATTAAACCAAAAAGGCAAGGGGCATTCCCGGCTATCAGTCAACAGCTTCGGGTAGAGTTGTTCTGTCCCTCGCTCCCCAGGTCAACAAAGCATCTGGAAACAATATTTTTAAAAATGTTCAGGAAACCCCTTTTAAGACTGCAATTTTATACAGGTAGTAAGTGTAGTGAATTGGGGGTAGATCCCGCTGAGTTCAACAGCATTTTACTTCAAAGTAGACATCAGAAGACTGCTGTTGAATAGCCACGGGGTGTTGCCCGTGGTGTTTGGTTTATTAAAACCAAACCGAAAGTCGAAGAATTCTATTAAACTCCGCGGCTTTTCCTTTTCCCCAGCGCAAACTACGGCTGTTTCGCAAGCTTGGAAATAAGATTCGCCACTCCCTCGATTCAGGAACCTTGCTTTCACTTTACCGGATGCAGGCACTAGGGGGCATCGCCACCTTCCGTAACTACCGTCGGCGTGCGAAGCTGTCACGTCCACAGCTTGTTAGCAAGGCAACTTCGAAGGCTCAGCCTCCGGACTGCCCAGGCGTTTGGCTCAAAGGTTAACTCGGGCTCTTTTTTTCGCACTTGCTGCGCGTTAGCGGCCGCCCGCTGGGGAACGCTCGCACATCGGCTAGCGAAGCCCTCCGAGACTGACCTTTCACTTGCCTCGGAGACGGCCTGGAGGACGTTTATCTGCGCAGCCATTTAGCGACAGGAGTTACTTGAAAGGTGCCCTCCCCTCCCCTCCCCTCCCGACAGGAACGACGCG